ATAGATAGCCCATTGTGTAGCTTTGTGCTTAACTTCAAACAAACATTATGTACAATCACGAAAGCGAGTTCCATGGATGAAACGTGCGGGCTTATTACTTTAAAATTTTCGAAAGTTTTATATTTTGAGGCACAAGAATGTTATTTAATGAAGTTGTGGAACATTGTTATAAATATTTCTAACATACCGTACTTACAGTTTATTGCCGACATAAAATACATATGCACTGAAATTAAGAATATAAAATAGGTTTAATAATTAGTAGGGATGCAAGGGTAGTAAAATTTGGCCGAATACCGTGTCCAAATACCCGGTCACTAGCTTCAGCGGGCGGTCAGTTTGTTGTTGCTCGGAACACGTTATTTTTTGTTTAACTAAACCAATTATTGAGTGTAACTTTCAGTATCGCGTTAGTTACCACAAAGTTTAGGGCTTAGATGCCTAACTTCGACAATCGGGCGGAGTCGAGTATTACCGGCTAGCCCAATACTCGGCCGAGGCCTAATATCTGGCGGGTACCGGTGCATCTCTAATAATTGGTGTTATTTATGTATACTACCACTTATTACTTGCAGTTGACAGATCTTGCACATTCCGAATAATCCAAGTAATCGTGGTAACCTCTTCACTAAGTTTCTTTTTATTATTCTAATTCTCTCACTCGTTTTTTATCATTTCGTTCTTTGTTTTTTAATGATAATGATATAATATTTTATTAATACAACATAATACATTCAAATACCATCCCGTGAATCTTAAATTAAAACTTATCAGCAGAAAACATACTATCAAAAATTGAATAACTTAATAACATCAGTACATCCATTAACACTAATAAATAAATTTTATATAGAATAAGACTTAGCGAGATAAGTAGTGGCTTATATCCTAATGACATTTCATGTGAACGGTGGATGTAGAGATCAATTTTAACTTAAGTTATAAGCAGCGGAAAAAAAAAAAAATGTTATTATTCAATTAAAATTTAAGGAATTTAACTATAAAGTTTCCCTTGGGTAAGGTGGAAGAAAATTCACAAAACGATTCTTACCTTAGACGCGTATTCTAACACAGGAGTAAAGTGTAATGTAGGCGTTCTATTTCAGTTTCACAGTATGAGCCTGCTTATAAACTTGTCTCAAGAGCCTAACTCGTAAAGTGGGTTACAGCATAACTCGCCTAAGGACAGACAGAAATGTTAGCGTCTGCAGTCTTTACACCCACTCGGCTAGGGCCTCTTGTTCAACCACTACACTCATGGTATTAAATAAACACAATTTCAGAACCTAATTTGCACCAGAAAAACTGCAGATGTTGGAAAAGTTTCCTATCTCGTTTCCCTGTAACAGCTCAGTAAGTACAGAGAAGAATGAATAACGACAATGAAATTTTAAGTTAACATATTGTCTTAATATTACACAAACATATTGCTTCCATATAACACAGCATAATGTTTATTAATAAGAACCAACAGCTACGGTGATCAGTAAAAAATAACACAAAGTATGAATATAAACATAACAGTATATAACTCACTGGTTTAACATAAAACTAATGTAACACAAAGATGAAGATGAATTCAACTTGAATAAGATAAAGAAGTAAAAAAAGTAAATTCATTATATATTTTATGCCATATTGTAGAATTTGTAGTTATGATGCATTTCAAAGTAATCTTACTGTTGTAATATATTTTTTTAATATTCTAATTTGCATGTTTATTTACCAGAAAGAAATTTCGTGTAGTATGTAAAAACAAGGGTACGATATAAATACGAATAAAGTGAAGTAGTGAGTTAATGGCTGAGTACGTTCATCATCAAAAATGTATTCAGTGTCAGAAGCAAGAGTATCGTGTCTATTCTGATATTGACAGTCAAATTCCACTATTCGATCAGACGAAAGTAGCTCAAGAGCTGGTGGTGTGAACTGTTTACCAGCTGCATTCTAGTCTATCAGTTCAAAGAGTAGGGACGCTTTGTGTAGCTTTGCGCAAAAATTCTACACAAACAAACATTTATGTTTTTTTTTATAATAATCAAGATTATTTTGTATTGTTAAGTAAGTATGTAGACTTAGGACTAATTTAACTTTCTTAGTTAGTAATTGTGATCAATGCAGGGTTCATACATTTCTTTTTCAACGTTAAAATTCAATTTTTTTTCAGATTTGCATTATGGATGGGCACACGACAGTGTTGCCATTTTACTTTTTCCACATGGAGAGGGGGGGGGGGATAATCTAACCACTAGTGATGGCGAAACAGATGCCACTCTACTAGAAGAAACTGTATCACATGGAAACCGGCAGTTTCTGACATACATGTTCATGTAAAACAAACGATACATGTACCTCACCTGTTTGAACTATATGTTTCAGTCCAAAGAGCAGTTTCATACAGTTACACTACCGCCCACATTTCAGTCTATACGCTTTCGGAGAAAGTAATAAATTACTGGCAATGAAACTGTCAGGACCCTCTGACATTCCTCTGCGGTTTGGTCGTGAAGTGTTTGTTTAAATGAAATAGCGGCAACACTATCGGACCAATTATAATACAGGAAACGACAAGAACCCAGATGGAGATCAAACCCTGCTAGTCAACATAGCTATAACATTAATTAGAAAACAACAAACACGTATATGATTTATATGGTTTGGGACGTATAGCTACTCTCACGTGAAAATTTGGGGTCGATAATGTGTGTGTTTTGTTATAGTAAAGCTACATCGGGCTATCTGCTGTGTCGCCCGAGAAGAATCGAACCTCTGGTTTTAGCGTTCTAAATCCGATGACTTACTGCTGTCCCACCGGGAGACGGGGTCGATAATGGTTATAAACAATAACAGGAACCTTAGTTCTTAGTCTACACCGCTTTCATGTCCATTGTTTAAACATTACTTCATTACAGGTTACAGCTTTTACAGTGAGGAAGATTATTTTTTAGAACAAATACTGTAAAAGCTGTAACCTGTAATGAAGTAATACTTAATCAGTAAGTAAACTCAAAACGAAACTATTAATTGTTTAAACATTGTAGTGAAATGTGTATGGCGTAAGAACGTATCCATACGTACTGTGTAATATAATCGGGATTGTTGTGTTAAATATGAATAATTTTTGATAGTTTCTGTATTAAATATAGCGGCAGCAATTGTCTACAACTTTGAGGTCAATTGATATCTACAGTAGCTATTGGAATATGTATAATATGTATGGGGAAACTTCTAAACTATCGGGCATTCTTATGTGGTTCACATATATGGTGCACTTCTCTGACAGTTGAAACAACTTGTCACAGATATGTGATTTTCCATGACTGGCAGCATAAAGACAAATCTGACATCTCATACCACCATTCCTACGTAGAATATGTCATTTGAATTGACATCATTTAGACTGGAACATTTTAGGCGAATTTGAAGAAACGACGTCGTTATCACAATTGGAAATCGACTCGAACTCTGCAGTTTCAGCATTTATCAAATGTTCCATGGGCTCAGAAATAGGCTATGAATGATCATTAGTCTTTATCAAACAACCATAAATGGATTTAAATATCCTCACACCATTTTTTTTTAGCTTGTGGCTCATAACTTGAGGTGGGGGAATCACGTCATCCATGATTGCTTGTTGAGTTTATGGACGCAAAAAAAAAACAACAAAAAACTTTGGAAACTATCGAGATCCCTAAGCTGGAACCCGGGCTGACTGTAGAGTTTGGTTAGCTGGTGTACCACTATATGAATAACATTTCGCTACTGACTTTTGTGTGTGCTATTCAATATTGTTTTCCACTAGAATTATTAATGTTATATGACGTTATATTGTTATATGTGTAATGGTGAACAGTGGGCCACGAATCTCCTTACATGATTTCGTAGCCGGAATTTTCATGCCTGGGAAATCAGTTTGATATTTTTGCAAACTTTCTCAACGTTTCCAGACTTGCATACAAACTCTGTCAATGAGACTATTCGCAGAGTGATTCTACCAGACTTATATCCTGTCCCGGCGGTAGAATGTGCGCTAGAGGTGGGGGGCTAGGGGGGTGGGGGTGGGGGAGGAGAAGTAGGAAAAGGCTTTCTTGACCAATTAACGCGTATTTACTACTATTCTAGTTTTCCGAAAATTTTTATTATTGATATTACTATCAAAGTATTAGAAACCTTTACGTCTGAACTACTTATTATTATGCTTAACATTATCATGTTTTTGATTTCTATTTATCATAGATCCTTTTCATATCAATTGGAACTTGAAACTGATAGGGGAAGGCAGATGATTCAAACTGAATGGGCAAGGTATGACACCAGCCCTGCTTATATCTAAGTAATGATTAGGCTAATTATTATGAAGGTACACCTAGTATTTGTTTTACTACCAGCAGAAATGAAGTTACTTACGTTAAAACTGATTTGTTGAAAATTATATTTAATTACCTTAGTTTAATATCTTCATGGCAATAAAACTTCTCATCGTAAGTGATAAATGATTAGTTTTGTAAAGTTGTATATAAATGGGAGCCCGAACCAAAAAATACAAATAAATGACAACACAAAATGGTGTGCTTGTAAATTATAAATACTTTTTTGTTGTGTAAGTATAATGGGAACTCGATCATTGATGTTCGAAAAGAAAATCAACTAGATCAAAGCGCTGTTTATATATTTCACAAATTGGTTATCCAATTTTTATGTTTCCCTCGAAGATGATTCAAAACAGGGACTGCTCACTATTTTTAATAATTAACGACCCAAACAACCATTTTCTTCCCTTCTCACAAAGAACACTCGTCTTCAGGCCTTAGTAACAAGTTCAGGCCTTAATAACAGCTGTAGTTTACTAACGAAAACTTTAAATGTAATCACACAAATAAAAACTATAGTTATGATCAGTCATACAGTACTTAACCCTAAAGTAATATGTATATACATCTCAACTTGCACTATATACTCCAAACTTCTCTCTCGCTGTTATTGTTTCTCTTTTCCTATTAGTTCATACTTTTAAAACACCGGTGTGCAAAAAAATATTGCCATTAATATTTCCTTCTTAAAAATAATGTTTTAGTATTTTTATGATTATAAAATATATTAGGAAAAATTAAATTCAAAATAGTAAAAGAATCTTCTGGGAATGACGTGCCAACGAGCACAAACAAATAACAATTGTATTCAACCTTGCAGACAAATTGCTAAACAACAGATGTGGCGAATTATGCGTATTAAAGTCCTTAAGTAATTCATCCTGGTTGCCTTACTATCACTTGTTTGGACGAAACTTACAAATTTAAACAACGCTCAAGCGGAACGCTTCTCTGCCTGCGGAACGCATTCTCTTGTAGAGCTTTAAAAGTTTTTGAAAAATTAAAAAAGAACAACAACAAAAAATCAAGGTTTTAATTACATGTCTCTGTTAATTTGGTTATTATAATCGATTTGTGCCTAAAATAGTCCAGAAAAATAAAGACAGTTCCCTACCTTGCTTTCAGACACACCTGCTCAACTTGTTTACTCTCTAACGACTACTTTATGATCTCACTGAGCATGCTCAAGAAGTGACGTTACCCTACATAGATATTCCATAATAGTCTATAATAGGATATCTATTATGCTCTGTACGAAGAAACGTTTGATTTATTTTATATGAAAATGATGATATTAACAAATAGAGAATACAATATGTGTTAGTAAACTAATCAAATATGAGTTTTGAGTGAAGTAAAATTACTTAACATTAACAGATATTATAGAATAAAAACGTGTCTAATTACTTCTACAGGATTGGAAGATAATTTATAATAAAGTACCAAAAGAACAGCAGAAATCAACCAATAATATTCTAAGTAACATTTATTATATAGCATTTTATTTACCGCATTTTTCGGAATATAAGACTCACCGGTGTATAAGACGCACCCTTATTTTGAAGACAAAGTTTTGGGGGGAAAATCTACAGTCGCATTTGAAAGATTTTTGTTGAACAAAAATTCAATTTGATACTTTAAAAATTAGTATATATTGTTCTAAACACAAAAGAGCTCAAAACATCAAAATAAGAAAATACCGTTAATAAAAAAAAAAGTTTACTGTTATTTAGTTTGGTTCAAAACCTACAAAAT